TAGAATGTGAAAAGACTCATCACATCTTTCTATCCCATAGTCAACCATGAGTCTAAGCAGACACAGTGCAGCATCATGGTCATCAACATCCTGGCAGAAGAACACACTTGAATGGAGGAAAGTTTAAATGTGGGAATTTAAATGTGGGAATAAGACACGATTGCTGAGATTTCATGTACAAAACACAGGGAGGAAAGAGAGTCACCTGTATAACTGAAGGTTAGAAAATAGATTTGGAAATCAGCCACATAACATAAACAATGAGATGTTAATTGCTATTCACATCAAAATGCTAAATGTTTTGAATCAAGATGATTGTAACTAATCCACTTCTCCACCAGACTTTCACGTATTGATCTGATGCCTTCAACAGGCCCTAGTTACGTTTAATTTGCATCTGTGTAGATAGTTCTGTGCTATGAGAAATGTAGAGCAAGCACGCTCTATAAGTTGACTGCACACGCAGGCTCTATCCAGAAAATTAGGAGAACACCAGCAGAAATAGCCAGTCCATCCAACCAGTAATTGTCACTGGTTGGGAAATAGAGGGAAGACGGCATATCAAAATGAATTCACAATGAAGAAAATAGGGCAGATTCTTAGTAGGAAGAAAAAAATAAATTTGAGTGATTTCATGATATCCTTATAACAACCATAGTTATCTTATTTTGCCTAACAGTGATAGACACATCCTTACTTGTCTCTCAGTTGATAATGACTCCAGTGTCCACATATATCTTCAATTCCAGCTTTTAAATGATCCATCAACTATAGATATACAACATTTTATTATGAATTAAAATATTCCTTGTGTCCTAACATAGGTATAGAACAATTTAATTCAAAACAGAATGGTGCATATAGAAAGAATGGAAACTCTTAGGGTTTGTCTTATATTAGCTTGATCATAATGTTGGATATACTAATCCAAAACCCATAAATAATATTTATTCTGAAGTGCTGCTTTCAAATAGAGCATTCCCCAAATATGCATGCATATTAACATAACTTCAGGTTAATAATGAAAAGCATTTATCCTGTGATATTCTACAAATACCATTTGGGTAAAGCCAGAGTCAAGCATAAGGACCCTTAGCACTGTGGCTTTCTTTAGCACTAGCATGATCAAATGATAATTCTTCCAAAATCTCGACACATTAAACATTGCATCAGTGAAATAGCCCTTTCCTATCCCTTGCTTCTGCACCAAAACCTGCCCCCAAATACTAAATCAAAATGCAGTGGGAGAAAAGACTGCATTAAATCAAGGCTGCAGCTGTTCCTATCAGCCATGAAGAAACAGAGGGAATCCCAAAAGTCAAAAGAACCATTAGTTTATCAAGATTCAAGTTTTAAAGTAGTAGAGCACCTGCTTTGAGGCAGCTGATCCCAGTTGCAAACCCAACATTAAAAATGGATAGCTATTCCTAGAACTTTGGAGACCCAAAACCAGTAGGAATGGGCAATAATTTATAATCTTCCTATATTCCTACTGTCAATTGATATTTTAAAATTCATCTTACTCGCACATGAATTTCTTCATTGATTGATTCTTTTTTATTGGTCTTCTTAACGTCTAGGTATTTTACCAGTGGTCTAATGGTGATTCCCTTCATTTGAAATAAAGAAAGAAGTGATACAATGTTAATCCAACCATTAAACTATGCAGTTAAACAGTATATCCTAAATGAATGGAGATGCCTGTAACATTAATTGAGGGCCACTTCTACCTCCTGATTACTTGACATGACAAAATAGCTTCTGGAAAAAAAAGGACCTGATATTTAAAGCAGCAATTTTTACCACTAAGATGCATTTACTTATATGCACAACTCTAGAAGTCCAGTTTTGTAAGAAGATCAAGTTAGATGCAAGGGTGAGGAAGATCTCCAGGGGAAACATCCATCCAGTGAAAATTTGTTTTAAGGTCCACAAGACCCACTGATGCTTTGTGATTAAATATTCTCCTTACCTGAATGAAAACAGTAAAATATATCACCACAATAGTAGAGGTGATAAACATCTTCTTTCTGGGGAAGAGAGTTGTAGGAAGCAAAAATGCAAGGGAGAAGCTGCTGGCTCCTCTTAGCCCACTGTAGATAACAATAAGTTGATCTTTAAGAGTAAATTTGTAAGTCCGGAACTTGTTGCAAATGGAGAACAGTAGGAACACACCTAGGAAACAAATAAAAAAACACTAATAAAACAGAAATGGAAACATTGATGTCGTACAAACTATCCTAACCAAACAAAGAGTACTGTATAATGGCATAGTGACTGAACATAGGGAATATATTAGTAAAGTAGCTTAGGTGGGAAAGCTAGGTCTGTAGTATTGACTTCATACTTTTTTTTTTTTTTTTGGTGCCTTTGAATCTGTCTTGACTCCTGGCAACTCCCTGGACAAGTTCCTGCAGTTTTCTTGGCAAGATTTCAGAGGAGGTTTGCCATTGCCTGCTTCCTAGAGCTGAGAGAGAGTGACTGGCCCAAGGTCACCCAGCT